AAAAAAAAAAAGAAAGAAGTTGAAAAAGAAAACCTAATGAACAAAGAAGAAAAAAAAAAGTCTAGAATGCTTGAAGATAATGAGCTAAAACAAAATAACATCGCGAGTGAGTTACCCAAAACTGGCATAATATGAATGCTCCTGAATTGCCATTATCTGAACAGCATTATACCCAAGTTTCTTGATACGCGGCAGAACTTCGTCTCGGAAGTTGGCATAAGTATTGATAACTGGCTCCTGCATCCAAGGTCAAGATTATGACATGATTCACTTGAAGGATATCTCATAAGTAAGAACAAACCGGGAAGCATAAAATAACATAATGACGATTAATAAATCTGATCTTCAGGTAGTAGGAGTAAATGATGTCACTCTTGCAGAACGTATCAGCAGAGTTGGCACTAACCTTCTTGTCTCAAATGAGATTGAAAAACAATACATAATTTCCAGAAGTTTAGAGGAAATAAGAATGGCCTAGAGATAATGTGATAGACAGATGACCATAACTTCGATGGCCCATACAATGTCAATTACAGAAGCTAAGTTGGTAAACAATTTTTTTACCAACATCTCAGATATGCTCCTTCATGCATACAAAGTTGTAGAAAGGATTTCTAAGTTTGTTCACCCTCTTTCTGATCATTTTGCTATAGTACCTTAAATTTATCCCATTCTGGGCTTCCACCAAAATTGACACCCCCTCTCCCTTCTTCTTGAACTAATTTTACTCTTGAGAACTGAAGTGCCCTTTCTAGTAAGAGTATTGCATGGCATCTCTATCTTAGAGCTATATTTGAGGATACCTTAAAAGGTACTTCAAACTCTCTAACTCTTGCCAAGTTGAAATGAATCTACAATATCCTGTTATAAGATGAAAGAAGGTGATTGCAAACTCTAAATAAGCTATTCTTGGCTATGGTGGAAAAGGTATTTTGTTTTTCTATCTAATAACTTAGAATCATTTCGTTTGAAAAAGAAAAGAAAAAAAAAAAAAAAAGAGTTTGCAAATTTTCAAGCAAAGGCCCTTTCTTTAACTCTCGTGAACTCCTTACCATGTCAAATGGACTCGTAATAAAGGTAAGGAGCGTATGTAGAGCTGTGATACAAATAAAAGAGTTCAAATTTCTTATTATATTGAAAGTCATTTTTCCTTAAATGATACTAATCATTCTAGTATGTATTAAAAAGTATCTTTCATATGCCGATCCTTCTAATATCAGTTGCAAGGTAAATGCAGCCAGCCTTCCAACAATGCATTGCATTCTACAGATGTAAAAGCTATGAATGAATCACTTTACACTTAGCAAGCCCTGAATAAGAGAATTCACAGGTATGTGAACATAGAACTTCACTTCACTAAATGAGAAAGAAGAGATGCACACCGTACTACTCATTCCAACATGAGACTCATATATCCGTAGTGATTTTGGCTTCTTCGGACGAGGATGTTTGAAAATGTACTTTTCCTGCAAACATAATATAAAGAGCGCCCTAAGCTGAGAAGAAAGCAAGGTAAGAATCAATAGCTAAATCAACATTCATCTCTCTCACACACAGAGGAAATAAGCAACATAACCTTTCAAAACAAGACAAAAAAACAAATCCAGAAAGAACCTCAGGATTACTAATTACAAAGCAAGATTACAGAAAATCAAGAATCAAGAAGGTTCCACAAGAAAGTTTATGATAGCATCCTGTTTTACGTACAACTGAAATTACATAATGTTTACTGTGTCGGGCATCCCACTCATCCCTAAATCATCCCACTCAACATTCAATAATATTAAACATATGATAACAGATAGAAAATTTGAAAATACCTCTTCCGGAGGATCATAGTATATTCCATCATAAGGAATTTCGCTAGGCGCCTGAACTGAAAACTTGATCCAAGCTGGAATAGAGTCTTTTATGCCAGATGGAGTATCCATACGAATCTACCATGTAAAAATGATATAGGTAGTATCATCAACAACCTGCCTACTACTAGATTCGCAAAGTGCAGAGATTGCAGTTGATGGCAAAACTTGGTGGCTATTGTTATAAATTATGATAATGTAGTAAGAGCAACCAAGATTACGGCTCACTAGTGACAAACTTCCAAGTAAGAAACATATAATACTTAAAATTTGACTATTAATAAAATTTTATTCAAAGAATAATATTAACTTCATACCTTTACGCGGGAACCATGGGGTATAGCGGGAGACCCATCTGCATTGTTTGGTAAAAAGATCTCCCAGACACCAAATTCATCCTGTTAAATATCTAAGTGAGCCAAATTATATGACAGAAACAACCAACATATAAACGATAAATATATATTACAAATTTAAGTCTACCGAGAATCCAAAATATGATAATTCTAGCCATGGTAAGAAATCAGGACAGGAACAATGCTTGTAACATGGGAAACATTAAAAGCTGAAGTACAATAAACACATAGCTTCATCTTCATCTTTCTTTTTTTTTTTTTTTTTTCCT